ATTTTAAAAAAAGGTGGAAAGAATACACAGAATCACTGAACAAAAATAAAAAAAATCAGTCCACAAGGAATCAGTTTAGGATGTAGCATATCATCAGAAACCAATGGCAATGAAAGAATCTAAGCTGCTCTTTAGAAACAAGGATAGTGAGAGTTCATCTCACATACTTTAAGTATGTTATCAGTAGCTCTCAGTCCCTGGAGAAGGATATTGTGCTTGGGAAACTGAGCAAAAAGAAAACCTTCAATGAGTAAGACTGGCAATGGTGGCTGCAGCAATGGGCTGAAGCACAGCAATAAATCTAAGATTGGATGCAGTGTCTTTTTCTGTGTAGTTCAAGTCTACCAGCTGCTCCACAGAAGAAAGATACATAATCTCTTCCTTTTCAGTTTACTACCTTTGAAGACCTGCTCGAGGGGTCAGCTACAAGCAAAAGCAACATAAAATCACTAAGTTGTATAAATTAAATGACATCTAACAACAATACTTTGTGAAAGATGCTCTGAGAGAAAGCAATGGTATCTGTATACAACAGAGACTGTATCGCACGATGCTGATTTACTTAATTGTGTTTAAGAGAATGATAGTTGAAAGATTATGTTTTAATCATATTGTTCATCCTGACCATTTTAGACAATAATATACCTAAAATATATCATTTAACTTCCTCTTACATTAATATCCTAAATGTAATAGTGACATTTTAACATCTCCCCATGATTTAAGGTCCTAATTAAGAATACAGAACAGTAACTGCTCATTAAAAGTCACTGGAGAATCTACCAACACATAGAAATGTTTGCACATAAACAAAATCCTTAAATTTAAGTCCTTTTTTGAGTTATTTCCACTTTTCATTTTGTTGCTTAATTCCCAACAGGCATTTTGTACACGTTTTCATTGGTGTACTTGCCTAGACTCTAAATCAAGTCAACCTTTGAGTTAGCAGGACAAATCCTCATCACCCAAGTATTAACAATACTTTTAGTACTTTCTAATTGTTTATATAATAAAAAGAACAACAATGAGGGGGAGAAGGAGCAGTAGTATGCTTCCACAAATAAAATGAATGAATGTCTTAATCAAGTGTAAGCAAAAATCTAAATAAATAAGCCAATTTGATAACACACTAACAACAACAAATATGAACAATATTCCAGATGAGACACAAGATTCTAACAACAACAAATATGAACAATATTCCAGATGAGACACAAGATTCTCCTGGTAAGAAAATGTTGTTACCATTTCCACCCATGAAGATCCATGTGTGCAGAGTAAAACTGCTCCATTCAGTTTTCAAAGTTATGACCTTTCAGAGACAGACTGCTAGGTCATGATTACTGCCTCTCTCTGAGTGAACTGATAATTTTCAGTTCGTTGAATACTTAATTAGCTGTGTGACTCTGAAATGACCAGAGGAAACAGAATATATATGTATCCTAAGAGGTATCCCAAAGATTTAAAAGATGTAACTGCCCATTAACAAGGCCCTTACCTACATAAACCAGGAGGAGTAAGAATTTGTGACCATCAACAAAAAATGAACTTCAGTCAATAGCTATGTTTAAGATAATAAAGAAGTAAGAAACTATGAAGACGTCAGTAATATCAAGTATTAGTGAAATGGGTAGTAACTGGAACTCTCACACACTGCTGTTACGAGTGTAAAATACCATACTCACTTGGAAAAAATAGTTTAGCAGTTTTTTTCAAATTTACACCTACAGTTCCAGTAAAATCAGCTTCCATGAGTCAACTGCTACTTAAAGCAACCCCATGAATATCAATGGTTATCAAGTGCTACTTGAACAAACAAATATATTGTCTTATAGATTGAGAACCTCTAAGTCTAAATAAACAGAAAAATATTGTCTTACACTTTGAGAAGCTCTAAGTCTAAATTCAGGCTGTCAGGTTTGGAGGAGGGCCTTCACTTTGTTAGCTATGGAGAACTGTCCTTTTGGACATCTGTAAGCCCAGCATTTCTTGAAGATGTCCACATGCTTTGGTGTTAATCTGTTCCTGGATCTAAGAGGTTCACTACAGAACAATGGACTCACTTGACAACTTGCTTTCTTTCTTGGTGGTGCTGAAGCCCCCCGTTTCTGTTCTCTTCTCTCTCCTTTAATCTCTTATAAAAGGCATAGCCCTCACTTCACCAAAGAAGACATTCAGATGGCCAACACACACATGAAGAAATGTTCAAAATCCCTAGCTCTAAGAGAGATGCAAATCAAGACAACTATGAGATATCATCTCACCCCAGTAAGAATAGCAAAATTTAACAGAACAGCAAGCAACAAATGCTGGCGAGGTTGTGGAGAAACTGGAACCCTTATTCACTGTTGGTGGAAGGGTAAAATGGTGCAACCACTATGGAAAGCAGTGTGGCACTTTCTCAAAAAGTTGCAAATAGAGATACCATTCGACCCAGCAATTCCACTATTGGGAATACACCCCAAAGAGACCATAACCTCCACCCAAGCAGATATATGCACACCCATGTTTATCGTGGCTTTGTTCACAATAGCAAGGAGTTGGAAACAATCTAAGTGCCAGTCAACAAACGAATGGATAGAGAAGCTGTGGTATATTCACACAATAGAATACTACACTTTACTGAAAAACAAGGAGCTCATGTAATATTATTCAAAATGGGTGACATTATACTGAGTGAAATATCTCAGTCACAAAAGGACAAACACTGCATAGTGCCACTGCTGTAGAATGGGACTGATATCAGGGTTGGGGCAAGAATGAGAAAAACTGGATAAATAATGTATACTGCATTAAAATGGATGATGGAGAGAACAGTTTAAAAGCAATATATTTTAGGGCATTATGATTATCATAAGAGTCTGGAATGAAGGTTGCAAAGTGGAATGTACTCGGGGTGAGGGTGTGAGGGTGCAGGGGGATTGTATACCAATGAAGGAATTTTTCTTTTGCTTTTCAAAGAGAAGAGCAAACTGAGAGTGGGGGTGGGTGGCGGGGAGGAAAGTGCAACAACAAATGAATAGAAATCCAACATCTCTGTAAATGTTCATTAATAATAATAATAATAAAGGCATAACCCTGAGTGACCAAGGCTATAGCCCTCATCACCCTTTGAACTTAAAACTCATCTCTGAAGCTCACTGTAGCAGCCAAACAATATTTCTCTCTCTCTAATTGACATCAAGTCAGAATTAACTCATAGCTGACCCTACATTTGATTTCTGTGACTATAAATTACATGGGAAAAGACTGCCATCTTTTCTCCCAAGGAACTGCTGTTGAATTTGTAGCACCAGAGTGTCACCTTGGAGTTAGTAAGAAATGGACTATACAACTAGAGCCAAACAACAGACAGGGTTGTAAGAAGAACAGTTATACCAGAAAGGAACTCTCTCCTTAGAATAACCAACCACATAAGACCAGAAAGGCTCATAGATTTCACTGGTCTCACATTGTTGCCCAGCAGCCTCAAGGAGCTGCCTTTACAGAAAGATGAAATGGTCTTTGAAATCTCATCTACACAATTATACCATCAGCTGAGTGACAACACTATATTGGGCTACAGAAATATCCTGTTTCCCCAGAGTTGTTATTTGCTCTAAATCAGCATCCAATACATGGTGTGCTTTCTTGAACAGCCAAGATTCATAGATCCAGGGATCAAGGTGTGGAAATGTGAATGGCATAATGTGTTATTATCCCTTGGAATCTGCTAGCAAAATTTCTGCTTCCAGTCACCTTTCTACCCTCTCTACTGGCCTAGAATTCTTCATTCAAAAAGGAGAGTGCCTCCAATGAAGACACTCAATTCCACTGAACTGGAAGTGAAGATGATATCTTACCACTCTGAGCCCCTTAAGTGTCTGACTCAACTAGACTGTTTGATATATTCTTATTTTGTTGTTAACATTGCTGTCAGTTACCATTAAGTTGATTTGAACTCATCATGAACCACATATTTCAGAGTAGAACCTCAGAGTTTTCATTGGCTACAAAGTTTCTATTAGAATTGACTGAATGAAACTGTTTAAAAGGGTTATGTGATTAGGTATTATTGTCATGACAGGGGTCCAGAATGAAAGCTGCATAGCAGAGTAGACTTGGGGGAAGGGATTGTATAACAATGAAATAATTTTTCTTTTACTTTTCACAGAGAAGAGCAAACTGGGGGGAGGGAGGAGTGGGCAGGGAGAAAAGTGGAACAATGAATGAAGTGAAATCTTCAATCTCTGTAAACTTTCATTAAAACTAGTAATAATAAAAATTTCTTTTAAAAAAGAATTGACTGAATGGCAGCGGGTTTGGTTTCTTTGGTTTCTAACCTTTCAAAAGAGGACTGGAGAGCTCGTCTGCTGCGGTGCCTCTGGGTGGGTTCCACACACCAACCTTTGAGCTGGCCATCAGCACTCACCCATTTACCTTGCCTACGGACTCTATCTAATCCTGATAACCAAAGAGGGGAAGCAATTCTACAAAATATCAACCGTCATAATTCACAGATACTATATTTATAAATTCACCTATTCACTAAAATACCTGCATTGCTTTTGTGGTTGTTCTCAGACATGCACACATGGGAAGAAAGGGTACCGAGGTCAAACAAAGTTCATTCAGTATTTGCTAACTTGTGTTTAGTGGGACTTTACAGAACAGAATTACTACAAATAATCAATTCAATGTGAAGAGTAAACTATGGTTCTATAACAATATGTGGAGGCTTAACCAGCCTACTTTCAAAAAATTGTTAACTCCTTGAAAGGAACATCAACAAAAAATTGAGGACAATAATACTACTACAAACCAACAACATATAACAAGACAAAATACTCCATCTAACAACAGAATATACTTTTCAATTGCACATCGCTGTTCTTGAGAATGGGAGCTCAGCCCATCAACAAACGAATGGATAGAGAAGCTGTGATATATTCAGACAATGGAATACTATGCTGTATTGAAAAACAAGGAATTCATTAAATATTATTCAAAATGGGCGATCCTAGAGGACATTATGCTGAGTGAAATATCTCAGTGACAAAAGGACAAATACTGCATAGTGCCACTGTTGTAAAACGGGACTGACATCATGATTGGGGGGAGAGTGATAAAGATGGGATAACTTATGTATACTGCATTGAAGCACATGAGGGAG